CATATCCCCAGCGGGGGTCGCGTCTCCAGTGACGTGGCGTGCTTTCATTGACTGAAAATTCAAAAAAAAAAAAAAAATAATTTTTTTTTGGGCCAATTCCGGAGTGACACCTCACTGGGGGTCGACCCCCAGTGGAGGTAGGAAGCATTTTTGATATTTTAAACTTAGGGGTCAATAATACATTATAAATAAGTTATATGTGGATTGCTGACATTATTACGATTTCTTATTTGGAAAATGTCTCGTAACTCAAATTTTGTGACTTAAAAATGGTTCAAATGGCCAAAACGATGTCGTTTTGACCATTTTTATGTTGTTTTGTACTCAAAACGACGTCGTTTTAGCCATTTGAGCTACTTTTAAGTCACAAAATTTGAGTTACATAGCATTATCGTTCTTATTTTATGTTAAATAAATAAATAAGGTCTCAATCCAATCCTAAAACAAAGTTAAAATTGGAGTCAATTTGGAGCTTTTACTTTTTTAGGCCAAACTCTAGGGTCTTGTGCATCGGCCCGCCCATCCAGGAAAAAGGGAATCCAAAGGGGAGAGACAGAGAGAGAGAGAGGGAGATTTTCTTAGGATTTTGCTCAAGTAATAAGAATTGTTATTGTTTCAAAATAATAACTATGTTTATTTTTAATTTTTTAAAAACAGTAATAAGAATTGTTATTGTCTCAAAAAAATTACTATGTTTATTTTAAATTTTTTAAATACATTTTTTATAAAATTTTATTTTCTTATTTTTCGTATTTTTTTTATTTTTATTTAATTTATTTAATATTTTGGATAATTTTTTTAAATTTTTATACATACCTAACATAAATGTTCTTAAAAAATATAATTTTAGTAAAAAAATCTTTAAAAAAATTCACTAAATACCAAAAATTTAAAAAAATTACTAAAATTCAGTATATTTTTCGTATTTTTGTGTATATATTAATTTTTAAAATATTTTTTCACAAATATTTTGTTTTTTAGATACATTTAAGTAAGGTGCATCTAAAAAAGTAAAAAATACTTAAAATTTTAAAAATATTTACTAAAAATAAAAAAAAACAAAAAAAAAACTCGAAAAAAACCTCAGTTTTTAAAAAATTGAATTCAAAAAACTAAAACCAAACACTTTGAATAGTTTTTTTAAAAAATTTAATTTTTTTAATTATTACACTTTAAAAATATTAGTTTTTTAAATTACTCTTTGATAGTATATTTTTTAAAAAATATCAATTGTCATAATTGTACTTTTAATATTATTAATGAAGGCAAAATAGAAAATTCATATTATTCTAATCATTGATTTTTGAAAAAGGATTAATATTTTGAGATAATGAAAAATAAAATAAGAGACTAATATTTTGAGACGGGAGAATAAAAGAATTTGGTCATTCTATAATACATATTTCTTTTTGAATGTGTATGATAGGTAAGTTATAATATTTGTGTCCTAATTAAATTATTTGAAATTATAATTTAAACAAAACATAATGAGTCAGAATTAAAATTTATTTGGGACACAATTAAAAAAAAATTTAGTAGTAATCAAAATGATAGTCACAATAGGCCATAACCGATATCATAATAAATTATAACTAAAGGTTATAACACTTGAGACATAATCAAAACATCTTCGGTCAAAATTAAAATAAAAACTACAAAACATTCTAGCTAAGACATAATTATATTACAAAATGATATGATGTAGGATAAGATTTTCAGGACAATATTTTAAGAATTTTTATATTTTTTAGTTTTAATATTTTTGATATATTATTAGGATTCTTGTAATTAAGTATAAATATTTTAGAATTATTTGGTTTCTTAATTTTATTATTTTGGAATTAGATTTTGACTAGGATTTTAAATAGTTTAGAATTCTAGTTTTCTATTCTCTTAGGTTTCCTAATTTGTATTGATTTAAGTTTCCTAGTTTATTTTAGAATTACTTTTCCTACAAGTATTAGGTTTGGTTTATTATAAATAGTTATGTAAGCCTCGTGGCAAAGAAAAAATTTTCATTCAATATTAAGATAT